ACAAAATAGCAAGTAGTACGATCGTCGAAATGAAGTATTAAGATTTATAATTGAATTATGTTTTTTTACACAAAGCAACCCTGATTTAATCAACGTTGATCTGGCATTGTAATATATAAAGACTAAAACTTTAAGATACATGGGCGCAAATTGTCGGAGTTACCGTCGTGTAGCCCGGCCGTTGTGTGTGAACGCAAGCCTTAATGCCGTTTATCGAGATAAAGAAATCGTGTCGTGTTTGTAAACCGCATACCAAAAGAATATGAAGTTAATATATGATGCTAGTTACAATGATTTTATCGCAGTTTATTTTGGGGAATTAAAATCCGTTTGTCTGTACTACTTGATTACAATTAAAAGATCGGTAGATCTTGTCCATCTTTTGATAGTTTTTGCCTTCCTTTTTTTCTTTTTAAACGTTGATAACTTATAGGAGTTCCTCTTTTACTTGCACTTATACTTTGTAAACAAACAGTAAACTTTTAAGAAGTTATTATTTTTTTTTTTGAAATTTCATCTATTAATCTTACATCATTTATGGTGTCGTGTCGTATTATAAATATTTAGTAGTGTTCATAAAGGATTAGGCACGTATTTAACGTCGTTTTAAATTGCATTTAATTATGTGCTGACCTGCTAACATGTCAAACATAAAATAACTTATAATAATCAAAGCCAAGTATGTGCTGCCCGGCCTTGTATTACATCGAGCTCACATATTGAATGTGGCAATTCTTACACCTGTCTCTGAATGGCAGATCTATGTAGGGGTTAATATCTAAAATCTTTACTTTTAATTTTGATTTCTGATTAGATAAAGAACTGATGTTTGAGATGTAAGTGATTGTTGGATCAAATCACAGTATGAGAGTTTTTCACCTGTTAATTATTCACTAAGTAAGACCCTTAATTCAGGTTTATCTTACTAGAGCCACTCTTAAGTAGGAAGTGATGAAAGAGGACAAATCATTCGTGTGTGTTTGATGAAAAATAAAATAAATGAAAATAACGTAATGTTTTGCGTAAATCTTATCGTTATTCAATATGAATGTGGTATTTAATTTAAATAACATTATTAGCTATTGTTGTGGCAACTGTTATTATTATTGATATAGTTAATAGGGAAAACGATAAGGTTAAAATCGTACAGTTACGTAACTTGACATAACATTGTAACCATATTGTGCATATGAGTTTCTAGGAAATTACATCATCACCACGAGCAGACATGGCAACTGCCTCCCCCTTATCCACCCTTGACGTAGCCTAGATCATCGGTTGACGACGCCTTTGAGCAACAATCTAGTGCTTATGTCTCAATCACCTATTATTATTACCAATTTATGTTGCAACCACTAGATGGCTCTAAAATTAAAAATCAATGAATTAATATCTTCTAGTGTCTAGTCTAGTCCTAAAGTGCCTAGTCCAATCTCAGCTCCGCCTATATTTGTTCGCTATAAAATATTATATGATCAGTTAGACTACGAGATGAGTGCGGGACGTTCCATTAAGTATTGTTCTCGACATTTGGCGTGAGGTCGACGACCTGCGCAATCAGCTCAACAGTTGGTTTAGCTTTGTGTCTAGCGGCGCCATTTCCTTGATATATTTCAATGTCATTATCAATAACATCAGTAAATAAAATTTCGATATCTGTTTGACTTATACGTTTATTATCCATGTGGTTGCAATTATTGATTTTAATTTAGGATGGATGATGCTTGCATTACATGTTCTATGTTCAATCAAAACAGTTTTAGAGGGATAACCCATTCGTTCATCATCTCGTTTTTGGTTTTGTAGCTATTTTCGATTAAAAAAAAGATGAAAGCACTAAAAAAGCTAATAACATTTCAAATTGCTCAATGTTATTTAGAAAAATTGACAATGCCGGCGGGCAATTTGTACTGTACATCCACCTGTTTATGTCGAATAAGCTGTGGAGATAAGTATATTCTTATGCCGCTTTTATATCTCCACAGCATTAGGGTAATGCGGTCGTGAGAGCTTCGTAACCTTCATATCTAGCTTGCATAAATTTGATTACAATTGTCTAATGAGGAACATAAATATTCTGATAATAATATATTGTTCCAAGTTGAAACGCCTCTACGATGACGAACAAATAGAAAGCCCTTTCACGAATCGCATTGACATGCGACGCTCTCGTTCTGCGGGATAAATTCTATGTGGGCTGTCAGATATAAATCTCCGCAGATCACGAGGTCGTTAATGTGATATTCGTGTCGGCGCCGTCGCCGATACACGGGTACCGTTATTCCATTGTCGATTCGAATACGCCTCATATTTGTCCGTGCAAGCGATTCTATGATTTAAGCAACGCGCCTGTTGTAATACATTTATAAACGTAAACAATGATGTGACACTAGCTAGCAGTTTTTATTTTATTTACCTTGTAAGGAGCAAAAGTTTGCCGTCCGCAACTTTTGGAAATAGTAGTGTACTTTGTATTGTTTATTCTTGTGTTTAAACCTGATTAAAAAAGAAACCTTATAAGTTGTAAAGGTGATTTCATGTTATATTTGACCACAATGTATTTCCTGGGGTGTTAATCAATAACGCGGAAGGGAAACTATCCCTACTGGAAGGGGTTGACTGAGTGTCGCGTAGCCTTATCAAGGCTTGCGTATCAAAAACTACCACCCCATACCCCATGCAGCCAAGGAGTACATTCACACCGGCAACATTTGTATTTTAATGCTTTAGGGAAATTAAAACTAAAATATTATTAAGTATTAAAATTTATTTAGTAACGTGATTGGCTAAGGTTGAAACCGCATATAAATTGCTCAATATATTTTAAGGCCCGTATCTATTTTCAAATTAAGTTTTAACAAAGAAATAAATCTGTGATTTTTATACTACTTATATGTGTATTTTGTCTGTGGTTACGGCTAACAATGAAATAAATTATGATGAGCGTACACCAAACCGTCTCGGTAGCACCACGTGCGTACACACGTGTGCTATTATGTCTCAAGGTCTCGGCCGCCGTTTCGATTTGGATGATACTCGTACATTTGAAACACAATATGATTGTCATAAGTAGTGTCATTTTTTGAACTAATGTAATTCTGCTCTAAATCGTTTTTATGTATGTTTTAAACCTCACATAGTTTTATCATCTTGATTTATAATTTTCCATCTACGGTATATTTTATTAAAGGATGCATTTTCAAGTAATCTCTGTCGACATTTAAGTTAATATCGGTAAGATTATCATCGCAAAAAATGTAATCAGTTAAAATTATTATGATATTTAAAAGTAAAGTTAGTTTTACAAGTACATAATAGACAAGGCAATAAGTATGTGCCAATTTCACAAGTTTTGTGCGTACAAATGTAATGTAATGTTTACACGAGGGAAGAACATTTAAAACAGTACTGTCCTGCTCGTTTTGTGCACTTCAACAATAGCACTACTACACTGTTTACTGCTCTGTTTGTGCTGCCTACGTGTGAAACTGACATAAAGGTGTATACCGTATAGTGCTGTACTCGGTTGTTGCGTCACACTTTGCCGATGTCAGTCGTGCCGGACTTTTGCTATCAATCACGCGTCTGCATACACGGAGAATGATAGACGCTTGTTGCAATACATGTGTAGTTCTGTCTATTATGTTCATACACACAAGTTCTTTCGTCTGAGTAACAAAGCTTTGTTTAAGGTGAAGAACATCAATGTATAAATATTATTGTAAAGTCTCTTAACATTCTGGAATAAACACACGGTGAAACCTTGGTATTGTTTAGGGTAGAATTGACATCATAAATCATCTGTTATCACAACACAAAAAGACATAGTATTATTTTCACAATGTCACTTTAATAAATACGTAAACATATTTCGTAATTATTAGAAAGTTCTCGTCGATCAAATCGGTGGAGTAGCTTTGTATTGCGACAATGCATTTGTAATCAGTAGGTATAGCGAGCGCATAATGAATAATTGTTTATTGAATAATTATATGAAATGCGGT